ATTAATATTCGCATAGTTACCGCGAGTCTGTGAAAGAAGCTGCGGAGGTTTTGGCCTGAGATTAATACCTGTATCAGGAAGAAGGCTTAAGTCGTGCATTCGTCAGCTTCGTCAAGCAGAGACGCCGTAGTCTGACGCTCTTATAGGGAACAACCTCGTCGTACGGCTTGTAAACCCTAAACGCAAATGAAATGCCAGCCAGGTTTGCGAATCCCATGAGAAGTTAACCACCGAGCATATTCGAGTAGGACATGTGTAAAAGGCATTTATTATAAAACGCGTTCGGCAAACTCGCAGTTAATTATCGAGACCAGCCAAGCAGTTGGATGAAAGGAAACCCAGCGCGGTAGCAGCGTGGTGTGGCTGGAATTATCCTCCACAAGTCCTGCACGCATCAGTATGCCTGCTTACCCGTTCACTGTTAAATTAAGCAGTGCCTACTAGCACTTTGCACGTCGCCACTTACGATGTTCACCGTGTGCTCCACAGCAGATTAAGAACAGACACGTTGACTTTCGCATGCATTAGGTTAAATGGACGCATCTACCGCTCCAAAAGCCACATAAGGGGTTGCCGTTGCAGCCTGACTCTTGGTTCTCTGGTAGGGGGCGCTCACCGATCGTTCATACGGAACTCACTCGTTCCGTAGATGCCATGTGGTGTCGGGCGATGCTCCATGCGCCAATATCCACTGCTGCACCGACCAGAAGACGGGGCTGGTGCGTCTCTGAGTAAAGAGAACACAGAGCTGAGTACTGAAGCCACCCGCTGTCCCACAACATACGGCACAGGGCAAGTCGTTTCTCTGGGAGTCTTACCAGTTAAAGTGTTCGGTCGTCTCGGTTCGGTTACCGCGTGTGCCTTCCATGATAGTGTGCCACAAACTATGCTCATCGATGAATGCTTGTTGAAGCGATTAGGCCTCATTGGCCGAACAACAGTGGGTTCAGTATCCACTGTCTTTCAGACAGCCGAAGTGAGCTCGGAAATAGTGGGTTTTCAGCTATCTGCGACTAAGAGCGGCAAGAGCCACTGGAAGTGAAATAAACCGGATCCGTCAGCCATCTTCCGAAGTTGAGGCGTTTTGCCTTAGCTAGAAACCAGGCAGCGCGTTGGGAACATCTACGTGACATCGAACTCCACCTTGTCGTAGAAGGGAATGTATCGATATTAATTCATTTTTCTATACAACTGCCAACTGTCCGAATCTGTAAGCAAATAACGGTCAAAGTGTTTCATATTGACCCAACTGTGAACGAGTGGGCGCCACGGTGGGATTCAAACCCACAGCAGTAGAGGAAGGGTCAGAATAGTATCCAGCGAATGGCCAATCATAATGCGCTTAATACTAAAACTAAGGGGTACATGTGCATATGACTGTTGTGATGCATTTCAACTGAGCATAGAGCATCCGCTGGGGGCGCGGGGGCATTTATCCCATATGTATGTCAATGCTACCTATGGCTGCAATCCCCTTTTCTTTGCGGTGCTCTTCTTGGAAAACTAATTCACTTGGACTTACAAAGACCAAGACGATTTGCAACCAGCAATGCATTAAGCATTAAAGACCATGAGCCCGCAGTGAAACAAATGCCCGACGACTTCGATTGAAGCCGATCTTCTGAATTTTGGAGAATAGCCACGCCCGAGCCCAATGTTGCGCGTGCTCCAAGGCTGTCTGTGGGCAAGAAATGGTTTCCTTTAGTTTAGACAATGCAGTCCAATATAGCTGGCGCCTGATTGGCAAGTGTCACTTCAGGCAAGGCAGCATTTTCGCGACCCTAGAAAAACAACATGCCTGACCGTGGTGCAAGGGTCCTGGGAAATTATCTAGGGGCCTACGACAGAGCATTTTTGGGACGTCAGTCACCACGCTTACCTCTGGGGACTGTTGGCGCCCGGCCTGCACTCTTTCGGACCGTCCAGTCAAAAAGCCCCGGATCCATACGAGGAGGCGTCCACAAATTCCTGTGTTGCGTAGTTTGTGCAAGAGATATTAAGGAGGAACGCGAACGAAAGCCATTTTGCAGTCGATATAAATGGCGTGCATAGAATGCCTTCGCCGCACAAACCAGGTAAGTATATAAATCCCCAGAAATACATTTGGCACGAGTTTACTAAATCTACCAACTTAAAAATGCCAGTAAGAGTGAGCACGGATGTTACCTTGCTGCAATTATGCGACGCCCGCTTATGCAGCGTAGAGAATAACCGCAGATGTGTAACATCAGCGATTATAGTATCCAATACTATGCCTTGTATCGTACAGACAAAATCATCGACGGAATTAAAATCAGTCCACTGTGGCGATCATGAAATTAACCCCTCGGTAGATGACCTTTCGACCAAGATACGGAGGTTGGTACTTGCGACAGCCTAGAAAAGGCATATTTTGCAAAACATCGAAGCGCACACTAGCTCAACCCATGAAAGCCCTTCTTGCATAGTATTTCACTACCCAACTACCCACTTTTAATCAGCTGTCCATGATGCGGTCTTAGTTCTGTTCAGTTCAGTTTTATTAAGTGAAATGTAGGCGAGCGACTTTAAACTCCCTATTGGTTCGAAATATTTTGTGAGACGCTTTGATAAGTAGAAAGTTGTAGTGGGCCCTCTTGCATAATTGCCTGTGGATCGCAGACAGCTTCCAACTAGTCTAAAAAGTGCAATCGCTTAGGGTTATTCTGTCAATGTTGTGAGTATAAGCATGCATGATTTGGGCGGTGAGTTATGTGACTGATAATTGGGAAGCTTGATACGCGTCGAGTTTTCCTTTAGTTGAGTGCTCACAGGAGGAGACTTCAGCATCAGTAGGCAGGGCATTACACACTGCAAGCACTCTGTTACCGGAAAGGAACTTTCGTTCATTGATCCTTGCTTCACCGGCGCGTACTTTTCGGGGAATACCGCGCAAGGTGGGCGTGTTAGCTTGAGCGCAGTTGTCTGTAGGAAAGAGGAAACAGATTGAGAATTGACAGTCTGGTTTCATAGGCCAGTGTTCACAGACCTTTTGTCATTTTTGTCGTCTGTCTCTGAACCCTCTCTAAGACGGTATAGTCCATGGCAGTGCAAGTTCTGCATGCCTTTGCGGCTAATCATAGATGAGGCCGCACGACGGTGCCAAATATTTTAAAAAAGCAGTCAGTGTCAAATCCCATAAAGACCCGCCTAAGGAGTTGCAATGTAGTTATGGCCGACTTAGCCGCCTTCGCGCAGTTCAGCGTTGGTTTCAGTGAAGATGTACTTCACACACTCAATTCTTTCTGACTGTCAATTTGTTGCAGTGATGTGCCATGAAGAAAGTAAGTCCTGGAGTTGAAGGCCCTGCAGCTGCCGAGTTGAAGGAAGTTGCACTTGTTTACATTGAAGGGCATAAGCCAGCGCTTCAACCAGTCCTCGAGCCTCTGCAAGTTTTTTGCAGGTAGTCTCCGTCCGCCGCATTGTGAATAACTATCCACAATCTTATGTCGTCAG